TTTGCGACGGTCTTGCTAAGAACGATATCGACACCGTCCCCTAGCTCACGCCGGATGATGTCCGCAGTACGCTCTTCTTGCTTCTCTACCGTATCGATAGGGCTGAAGACGCCGTTCACGACTATACTTTTGATTCCCTTCTCTTTGATGATCTTGCATTGCTCTATTATCTCGTGTTCTTTGATGTCGGAGATGAGGCTTCCATCCACCTCCAGTCCTCCTTTGATGAGCGCATAGTGTCCAAGAATGATGTTACGTAGAGAAGCTGGCCAGTCGACACATGGCGGTGCATGTTTGCTGAAAGAACCAGAAAGACGGAGGACGGCGACTTGAGAAAGACGTGTTCGGTCGCGGGTTACGACTGCGTTGACAAAGTGGGTCGTTCCGATTGTCACACTCGCAACGGAAGAAGGGTCGACCGAGGCGGATTTGAACATGGTGGTAATGGCATCGGCAATGCCATGACTTGGGTCGGTAGTAGTGGGTGCCTTGTGCCTGAGTTATGGTATGAGCTCGCGTTCTCATCAGGGGGTGATCGACTTCCGGTAGGCATCATCATGGGTGTTCTTTGGGTCTTATGAGGGAGTGGGCTAAGCGAGGAAGCGTGGTGTTCAACGTATGGGTATAGGACTCGTACCAAGCAACAATTCCCCGGTCATCTTCACCCGATCTTATAGGATCAATGATGACTCCGTCAGTGTTGGTTCTATTCGCAGTATTAGCCTCATGGCTCTCGTAGTTCTGATGTACAGTACGTGCCCACCGACGTCAACGCCTATTCGCAGATTCTTTCCTGTCGCCATCGTAGCCGTGAATACTTCCAAGATGCAAGCCTCTTCTGATCGAATTGGAGTTGGCTGGCCGTGATGCATCCAGAATCCATCTGATAAGATTTCGATTGGTGGGGCGAGCTAGGTCCGGAATTCGGACGTTCGCGGCCCAAGCCGCCTTCCTACTTTATCGCTCACCCATACCCCACTTTTGGAGTTACTTCCTACTCTGACTCTTTACCCAGTCATCAACAGCTTGCCCATTGGTAGCAGCAGAGGTTGAGATGGGATTTCTTCGGCGCTGATCACTGCGCTCGGATGATCAGATAAGATAGGCGCAAACACCCCTCTTTCTAACCGCGGATAAGGTGTTCTTCCCGCGTATGCTGCATCGTCGCCCCGGTCGGCGCATTATCATCTTCACTAAACTTGGGTCGGCGTTAGATCAGCTAGATTGGGGTGACTCCGAGCGCGGTTGATAACAAGGGTAGCAACACTAAGATGGCGGAAAGAGCTCACCACTGGCGTTCGTCGCAATTACTTCCCTCCCAGCCTCCTTGACTAGCGACGCGTTCCTTGGTTCGCGTTCATCATGACTTTGAGACAGCGCTTGAGGAATATCGATGAGAAAGTACGACTCCGTGGAGACGATGCGAAGCATGAGCAAACAGATGCATGGAGCAACCGCGATTTAATCCCCCTCCCGCCAGAGCGCAGGACATGGGGCTGGTTCAATTTCTTCGGGTTTTGGGCGATTTCATCGCTGAACCTCGCGAATTGGCAAACGCCAAGTACTTTCTTGAGTAAGCTATACCATATGGTTCTCGTCGCTTTCGATCGCTGATATCACTGAAGCTATGGGTTTATCTGTCTCACAGTCTATCCTTATCATCGTTGTGAGCTGCTTGTTGATCGCTTTCTTCTCCACACTTATTGCTTGGGTTGGATTGAAGTGGCACATTGGCTTCACAGTACAGAACAGGTATAGTTGGGGAATGCGCGGGAGTTTCATACCTTTGTCGCAGAGAATCCTGCTCAATTTCATATGGAACGCCGTTCAGTGTAAGTCGGAGAACTATGAGGGCACACTGGGTACTATGATGCTAATTTGAACCAGGTTGGAATGGAGGCCGTCTAGTCGCTGTGTGCTTAACCGCGATCTGGCCTTCGTATGCCCGTATGCCGAACACGTTTAGCCCCAACTTCCCTGCTACCACCGACCAGTTTGTGGGATTCGTAGTCTTCTGGTTCATATCGACACCTTTCTTGTGGCTGCGACCGGAGAAGTTCAAGATACCGTTCCTCATAGTCTGCCTCTGGTGCGGCATCGGAATGTTAGCATGGATGATCTGGGCAGTGACGACTGCTAAAGGTGTAGGCCCTCTATGGAATGCCGGCGAAAACATTCCCTCGGGTTCCGCCTGGGGTACCTCTTGGCTCATCATGGCTGGCATCAATCAGAGTCTTGGTGGCATTGCTGCGGGTATCACAAACGGCAGCGACTTCTCACGCTATTCTCGTGGAAGAACACCCTACATGGTCGGTACTATCACTAGCTGTGTGATCACCAGCGTCATCGTCTCTCTAGTTGGTCTTGTTACAACTGCATCAGGACAAAAGTTGTATGGAGAAATCTATTGGAACCCACCGGATCTACTCATGCGCATGATGGACAACGGTAACGGCTCATCGAAGGCACGTGCGGGGGTATTCTTCCTGGCTGCAGGTTTCGCATTTACCGCAATGTTCGAGAACATTTGCGGAAATGCTGTCTCCGGTGGTATCGATCTTGCTGGCCTTTTCCCACGTTACATCAACATACGACGTGGTGCCATAATTACGTTTGTGGCGGCATGGGTCGTTCAACCCTGGCAGCTCATCAACCGTGCCACTACATTTATCGCCGTACTGTCTTCCTTCTCGGTCTTTCTAGCACCAATCATTGGCATAATGGCATGCGACTACTTCCTTTTGCGAAAGAGAAGGATCCGCTTGAGTCATTTATATCGAACTGAAAACTCGTCGTATTGGTTCACCAAAGGTTTCAATTGGCGGGCGATACCCTCATGGCTATGTGGATGGATCCCGACGATTGGGGGTCTTATAGTGACAGTAAGAGGAGATGTCGATCCACCACGGGCTTTGGTACAGCTCTACAATATGGCTTTCTTCATAGGTGAGTAAATTGTCTCACGACAATGGAAATTGAAGGGCCACTGACACCTTGATAGGATTCTTCATCAGCGCTTTCGTCTTCTATGTCCTCAACAAGATCTTCCCAGTTCTAGATATGGACCAGATCGATCCTATCGATCTATACGGTACCTTCACAGAAGCGGAGGCAAAGCGAGCTGGTGTAGCTCCGCTAGACGACAGCCCTATTCTGAGAGGGGTATCTGGGCGAAGATCGACCGAGCATGTTGTCATTCATGCAGAGAAGGATGTGTGAGTGGGGTAAACACATAGATTAGAACCATGTAGAATTCGTCACATGGAGGCTTGCAAGGTAGGCTCGGCCAATCATTTGACGTTTCACAGCCTAGCCACGCCGCAATACTGCATAAACATCGCCCAAAGAGCTATCGAGGACTTATAGGCTTTGGCTAGATGGCGGGGCTGAGCACAAGAGGGATGCACCACAAGAAGTACCTGTTACCTCGGAATCTGTCGCGCATGTTCTTCGTTTCGTTGCTTCGCTCTCACCTACGCTACAAGCTCGGTACATCTACACTATTAATCCTGGTCTGAGCTCTAACACCACAGATCGCAATGGCTCATCGCCGACATGATAGCGCAATGTCTCAAACGGACATACCGCTGATACCCCATGCAAGCGATGGCGGCGCTGCATCTGCTCTGCAATCACTGACAGCTAATTCTGGGCACAACACTAACTTCCGAACACTTGCAAAATCCCATTGGCTCACTCCGACAAACATGTTGGCTTCTTATTTCTTCGGCATTGCTCTCGCAGTAGGACATCATCGATATTACACAATGCTGGATGGAGATGTGATAGGCTCGACAGGGCGACAGCAGTGGTCATTACGGTATGTACTAAGACATACGCCCACGTTCATGACTGACCCTTGTAAGTTTCGGTAACGCTTTCGCAATCAGCATCGCTCTGAGCCTCAAGATCGCCGTCGGCATCGCATACACGCAGTTTGTGTGGATGCGTCTCCGGGCGCGTTCAATAAGCTTGAGATCTATCGACGACTCTTTCGATATTTCGAGAAACTTATCCGCTTTCTTCAACCTTGAAGTCATCCGGGAGCTGCACTTTGGGCTCATAGTTGCACTCATACTATGGTAACCGATAGATGCACCTTTGAATGAGTGTCACTGACGGTTTATAGGTGTCTACCATTACCAACATTGTTCGCTCCCCCAACATTATCAGTCGAGACGAGAACAACGCAATCACACTCTATAGAACAAGCGCTAAGAGCGGATATAAACAACCTCAGCATGTCAGACGCGTTCGTTCTTAGGAATTCTGCGTACCTTCCCTGGATCTCGGGTCCTTCAGCTCGACTCGGACGAATCGTAAACGCAGTCGCATCTTCCGGTAGCCGTCTTCCATTCGAAGCGCCTCATTCTCACCTAAACACATCGTACGAGACAGAAGCCTTTCTGCCGGTACTGAATTGCACCGCAGCAAATAACACCGTGCACGACGATATATTGCGATTTGCCAACGAGACTAGAGTCGCCGCGGTGAATAACTTGACTACTGACAGTCTGAAATGGACGAATTCTAAGATCCCTTCCTACGGAGAGATTGGTTACCTCGGACTCTCATATCCAAGGACCCTGGAGAAAACTCCATTAGGTCTGAACTGGAACAATACTGAGCAAACCACCAACGAGTTTGCTTTTGCTATTCAGAAAAGACCAACTGATGTACCGTATCAATCTGATACGGAGTATTTGTCATGCGAAGTGTGGAACGCTACTGTCTCATACACCGTCAAAACCCGCAATAGTGTAGTCGGTATCGAGAACATTCATTGGGAGTTACTCAACAAGTACGATCCGAAGGATGCGTGGGTCAATAGCTCTCTCTCGCCAGGTCAGGGCTCTCCTGCCTATTCTGGATATACCATAGGCCTAGCAAGCTATTTGCTTGGGTATGTCGCCTGGCACAGGGATAACACGCGAATGTCACTGGATTCGGCTGGCCGGCTTGACGCGACATCTCTTTCTACGGGGGCGCAGTTTTACAACATGACTCGCGACATAAACCAGGCAATCCAAATTGTCAACACTCTTCAAAACCCGTCCAGCGTCCGGGATATTTCATTCCGTGAGGACGTCGAAGCATTTGCGCTGAATGTGTCTTTGAGCATGGTCAACGATGCTTCGCTTTGGTAAGCTACAATCCCGTGATGTGTTCGAAGGCTAACGCTGGAAATAAAGTACCAAAGTCCCTGTCAATGTCACCACGTTCACTTCTGCGGTCGTCTACGCCTACAACCCGCAGAACCTCCTGCTCTCATACGGACTGGCCATCCTTGCTAGTACCATCTCCATTGCCTTTGGACTGTTTGCGATGTGGAAGAACGGTGCATGCTATGATAATCGAATGTCTACTTTCGGCACGGCGATGCAAGGCTTTGATGTAAGTGTCAACGGAAAAGATATACCCGATCAGTAGCTCACAGCAACCCAGGTCAAAGAGGTCTTCGAGGACTCTAAAACACGGGCGGCACAACCGCTAAGAGGACAAGCTGCGAAGACAAAGCTGATGTTCGATGCGGAAGAAGGTTTCGTACTCGGCCACCGCAAGCGGCCCAGCGGCGGCTCAAGTATCGGCACGCCTATAACAGAAGAAGGTTTCGTACTTGGCCAGCGCAAACGGGCCAGCGAAGGTTCAAACGTCGGCACGCCTATCAGAGAATGAGGCCTCGGCATTCGGTGCGCGACGTACACATATGGCGATTACACGGTTCCGATGCATTTGGATAATTATATAATTATCGTTTCGTACAGGAAGCTCCGCTGACCAGCGTGGGGAGCATTAACTAGACCAGATCTCATACATCTAATTAATTTCCGAAGCCTTCACAACCGTACCAAACATATCATCAATCTCCGTCAGCGCAACCTTCTTAACCTGCACAGCCGGGATATCCTTCATATCGCGCTGACCAACACCGTCTTCCACAACAAGAGCCTCGTATCCCAAAGTAGTCGCTTCGCGAGCGGTACTCGACACACAGCCATGCACCATGTATCCCGTAAGGACAACTTTCTTAAGCCCAGTCTTCTTAACAATCTCTGCTAGGTCTGTCTCTGAGAAAGATCCAGCATGCTTCTTCCACACGATAGGCTCGCCGTTAATAGCTTCGATGCCGTCCATTTCCTTGGTGAGCTTGCCATTAGGCTTGAAGATAGCTGCTTCGTCATCGCCCGTGTTGTGCAGGACGTGGACGATATGGCCGTTTTGCTTTCGGTATTTTTCCAGGAGGCTGGAGATGGCGATGTTGACCTCCTTGTAGTCTTGAGCAGGTAGGCTACCATAGATGTATTCGTCTTGAGCGTCGATGATGACGAGAACGGAGTCTTTGACCGATGCTGTTGAGTTGGGGACTCCGATGACCGAGCGAAGAGAGGGAGTTGACATCTCGGAAGGCTGGTTTTGGGTGATTGGGAAGTTGAGGAGTAGATGGTGTATATAGAAATGATCAATCGTTAGGCAGTTGATTGAAGCGTCGAGGGTGATGGATGTGTTGGTTGTCCATTTCTGTAAACCCGTCGACCTTTATACCGTCGACGGATAGCCCCTGCGAGAATTCTCCTACATTCGTCCGTCACATACCAAGACCGAAATTTTGTTGTGATATCGTAAGCCAGCGTCATGTTTCCTTAATTGTTCGGACCGTGCTGTTTGGTGGACTAGCAAAGAAATAATGTTACCCCATATGGTTAGCCGGATTTCTGTGGACTGATCACTAACCAGAGCCTCTTACTAAGGCGGACACGTCTTGTGCGAACATCACTTCCTGTCCCTCACTCAACACCTGTCACATCGTATAGTGTGCGATTCAGCCCCTCTAGTCCAGCAACGCTCAGTCTCGCCCCCACAGCTTTCGCACGCTTTTGGCTCGCTCTGAGTGTTGTTCATCTCGTCGGGCAGGGTATGTCGCGGAATGGTCAGACGCTTTACCTCGTCGGGCTTCTCAAGCTGCTGCGGTGAAGGCCAATGATGAGTAGACTCGTGGTGATGGAGTACGGATAGCCACCAAAGAAATCGGTGCTCTTTCGGTCGCTGCAAAACCCGTAGTGTAGGGTCGTTGCTGGTTTCCCTTATAGCCCACTCCGCAGCGAGATCGTCCACTTTAAGGTGCGCGAATGAATATGTTCCCCTCTTCGTATACAAACAAGGGTATTTGTCTGCGAACGTATCGTAATTCATACTCGTCAGGCTGAACTGTACAAGAGGAAACTGTCCCGCCATCTGCCCCCACGACCTGTTGGAGGTCGTGAGTCCGTCACAACCTGGGAAAATGAAGAGCACACGGATCGGGCGCCCTGCTAGCTCTTGGTAGTGTAGGATAGCCTGCTTGATCGACTCGCGGTAATGAGAGGTTTGGCTTAGCTGACCGAAGACGGTTTCCATGGAGGAGTCGTGTCCCAAAAAATACGGTAGGTATATTGGCGATGCGATTTCCATTTCCCACACGTTATCAGGATGCGCGAGTCTGGTGTGGGGCGTAGCCAGACGATTGCAGACACGGTTCCATGTGTTGTATAGCGCATCCACGTGAGCGTGCGCTTCCGTCTCTGCGTCCTGGCATGCGGAATCTTCCTTGGATCGGGGTCCGCTGGATCGCGAACAAGACAGCACGATATCGAAGGTCTCTCTAATATCGTCGGTATTGTCGTGGACATGTACGTCTGTCCCAAATAGTGCTCTTGCGTCAGGGCAGCACGCATAACTGACGGCAGGGTTGATAGTAATCGGTCTGTCTGAGCGGGTGAGAGAAGGTCGCACCTCGACTCCGTCTTCGTCGATCTGTATGAGTAGACCCTTTGAGCTGCTGAAATCTCTCCATTTAGGCTCCTTTACATTGGCGGTCCTCGTAGCCGACCAACGTCTCGTCAATCTCGTGAAGAGAATGTTCGGTATCAGGCCGTCCGGCTCGTGCTCGAGAATAGCCATGATTGTGCGAAGCTTTGTGACTACGAATGCCTTTCTTTGAACGAGTATATCCATGTCGTCGGATGTCGCTCGAGCCAGTATGTCGACATTGGGCGCTGAACTGGACACGGATTTGGACGCTGAGGGGGACGCGGAGGTGGACGCGGAGGTGGGCGCGGGGGCAGCGATGATGGTACAGTATTCATCCTGAATGGCCTTGCTCCATGGTCCCACTCCAGTCGTCTCAGCCGTACGGCGCCAGAGTAATTTGGCTTTTTGTGGCGAACATCCGATCCATGGCTGGGTGATGGCGTTCGGGTCTTCCTTCTATGAAACGGTACGATTGTAGGTAGGTGTACTTAGCATACGCACTGCATTGGGTGCACTCGACCATATTTCTTTTCCACTCGGACCGATCGCAAAGGCGAATCTAGATGCCGACTTCCTAGTAGCGTTGCATCGCGCGGGATCTAGCTCTTGAAACTGCACCTACGTCATCGATCCGGTAGTGCCGAGCATCAACTATATCCAACTGAAATCCATCATGATGCTTGGTATCCTTACCTCCCTCAATACCAGACAGAAAGCTTTCAGACACCATGGCACCAGGCGATAACCTGCCTGATTTTCTCACGAACACCAAGCTCGACCCCAGCTTCGACAAAGACATTCTCGACACACATCTAATCTATGATTACGATGCGCAAGACAACGATGGCAAACCCGAAAAGTGGCGGTACGAACTATGGTGTTTCTCTTCGGACCGTGTCGTCTATGCCATTCACGGTGGTCCAATGGCTGGCCGCATAAACTACCAGCGCGCAACGTACCAATGTATCCGTCCCGGTGAACTTTGGCAGATAAACTGGCTCGAGGAGACCGGCAGTATCGTTTCTGCTGTCTACGACATCAAGGAGAAGAAGATGACGACGTTGATCGCGTTCTCGGAGGGTCACTGGAAGAGAGCGAAGGAGGCTCTGGGCGATAAGAGGAAGAAGGAGGATCTGGAGAGATGGAGGGGGCTGGCTGGTGTGGGAAACCAGACGTCGAGGTTCATGCTAAGCGAGCAAGCTCATGTTGTAGAGGTGTTCAAAGGCAAGGGTGAACTGGTGCCGATCAAAGAGAGCGATCCCTTGTTCTGATTGTGTATAACCGATGGACATCAACCAATGAAGCCGTTACCATGTACCATTTATCTCGCATGGTATGTCCGTTCTTGACTATGACAAAGATCTTAGATGGGACCATGATGTTGGTACCATTGCATGGCATGAGATGAGGTTTTCAAGGGATCGCAACCTGTCGGAACCATAGTGCCGGTAATGAAGTCGAAGCAACGTACCTTGCATTGCAGACTGGCAGTGCGACCATCCACGCGATGCTGTGTAGCAAGCCAGTGCCACAATGTAACCGAAGCGGTGAGCCATCCTGCCACAGTTCGGCGACCTGTTCGGCGTTCTGGCGTACCGTTACATCTTGTCGCAGACATCTATTACGACGCCATTCGGGTTCTCGTGCGCATGCGATACGCGTTCGTCCTCCAGACTTGGTATCTTTGGTTGTATGTCTCAATGGCTTATGACATGTAGAAACCGCCCCCCCCCCCAGGACCACTCTTCATATTCCTCTGGCACTTCTCGCTTGAGCACATAACATGCGTTACACCGAGAGAGCGGGAGGCGGAGGACCGATGTGGGAATGTCTCAATATCGTTTGGTTTCAATAAGTCAACAAACTAGTCGGATCCCGGTAGAGTCAGAAGACGCGCTCGGAGCAGTAGTAGCAAGTCTCGCTTGTGCTCCGGTGGATGCCGGGGCAATACCGACCCAGTGGTCCTTTGTTCCTATAGGATACTCGATGCTTGTGATGATCTTGGTCTTCTGGCAGGTTTCTTCAGTACGACGAAAGCTATAACGTGCTGCGGTCAGAATGTAAAGGCATTGCTGACGTTGCTCTTCAGTGCGTGTCGTCATCTTTCCGAACTCTTACGTTGCTTGGGCTCGCATTCTATAGGAACATCGTGTAGCCAGTTGCGACCACGTGCAGTGCTGCGGGTATCGCTGTACCTAATGAAGAAGTAATGGACTAGATTTCTCATTCCGTACAGCCGGGCGAAGGCGCTGCACATGTCTGATAACGGTGTGGGGTAATGCCCGTCAGCAGCCAGGTCCCAGCGCAACGCTTTCTCGTATGCCCAGCGGGCTTCACGGCATTCATCCAGCGCGGGGTCCTCTGGCCCTGCGTAAGATATAGGCAAGGTTTGTACCGGACGTTTCAGTCGCTTCTCGAAGACACTGAAGATCCAGGGATGGTGGGAGCGGCGCACGCCGTGGCTGTTAGCGGCATGTTGTGAGTGGTGTGTGGCTTGGTTGGACAAAGAACAGACCGCATGTTCGGAGTCCGATGCCTGCTAAGCGCCCGCAATCTGCTGCTGTAAGGACGGTGAGACTCGTCATGCGCCATGGGACTGGTCTTGCGCTAAGACCAGGTGTGTAGAGAGATTGAGCAAACGAAAGGACTCCATGGCAATCTCCACCTGGGCACTCACGCCATGTTAGATGATGGATGGACGAAGGCACGCCGACAGCTCCAGGCCATCGCACGAGAGCATAACAGATCATCGGGACCGCCAAGGGCATGCAGCCAACCGTGCTTTGATGCTGCAAATGAGGGAAAAGTCAAAGGGCAGAGTTAATCTTCCGATGCATTGCTCCGGCCCTGGAGTATGGAGTGTCAGTCATTGAGCTAGCCGAGGGCGG